CAAGAGACGTGAGTGACGCGTGCGGGGCGGCACGCACGACGTACCGGGCCAATACACAGCAGAGACGAACGACTCGCACATCGTGCGCGATTCCGCCCGACTCGACGTGCCCTTGCACGGGCCAGTCCTCAATGCACCGGCGGGCGACGACATTGTGTCTGCGTGAGGTGAGTCTGAGCGGACGGCTGGGTTGAGAGAGGAGAGGCTCACGAGGGAGTGGATCGGGCAGGTGAGTGCCACGGGATGGTCGGGTCGGACATGACTTGCAAGAGCGGGCAGTATCCGCGTGCGCTCGAGGACACCCGCACGGGGTGTAAGATGAGGATGGTCAGTAGGTGAGCGTGGAGTGAGAGCGGTGGTGTGCACGTACCGGTAAGTAGCGAAGGCCGATGAGGCGCGATGGGCGGGATGACGTGCCGGTCCTGAAATCGAGTCGCCGGGACAACGTGCGGACCGTGCAACTGCGAGGGCGGGAAGGCGGCGGACTGTACACGGCAATTTGAGACGGTCAGTTTTGGTGTGGAGCTCGGCGCAGTGGGCATGCATACCGTGTCGGAGTCCAGCGTTTGACCGGGCTTTGGAGAGTGGGAGGGGTGAACAAGGGGGTTGCTTAGAGAAGCGAGAAGGTGGAGGAGAGGAGGTGGGGGGGGATATGGTGGGAACGAGTGATGCTCGCTCTGACCGGCCTATATATCCCACAGCTTCGGACGTCCATGCCTAGACCTGTGACTCATCAGACACTCGAGCATCTGAAGGGAGATGAAGAACCGACGGCGTGCAGGTCAGCGGGCTCTGTCATCAAATTTCAGTTCAGAAGCACGGAGCATGCGTTGTGCCCCAGAATGCCTGTACGTAAACGTATATCGGACACAGTGATAGCACTGATGAACTTTGCTTTTGTGCGCGTTTACAATCAGTATGGGGACCTGAACGCGACCGACCCCACATTCGTTGGCCATATCTGTACCTGCTCGTCGTATCCAATGGCGAGGTCGTCCCTCTCCCATGATGCAGAATGTGGGCGATGTCCGCGCGTCAAGAACGGCAACACGCACGCATCTCGAACCCACTCAAAGCCCGTCGATTCTGCTGCGAAATGAGCTGATGGAACATTCGGTGTCTTGTTCTGACACCGCCACCTTCCCGAAGCTCAACCACATGCACACTGCGCCCGAGACCACGCTTATCGCTATCCCCGTGTTCAACGGATCGCGTAGTCTTCAAGACGGTCCATCGTCTGAAGGCCCTGGACGCCATGGGCGTATGGTGCTCTCGGAGGCTGCGAGCAAGCCTACGAGATTGGAAGCATCTGTACTCACCAGAAATACCAGAACGGGCACAGTTCATGTAAGGGAGACTTCCGCGTGGTCTCAGATACAGCCATGAGGACGGAGATGTTCAGGTGACGGCGCTTCGGGTAACTCGACACGAGATGCTCATAACATGACTCTGAAAGCAACGCTTCGTTCGGATGATGGATGTCGGACTTTGGAGCTAGATGCGAAGCGTGATGGGAAGGTTTGTTTGTTGACTCGAAATGTGAACCGCCCCCTCTCCGACCGTCGGCACGATGGGCCTATCAAACACTATCAGACGCCGCGCAAAGAAAGCTACAGTGTACCGAGCAGCTTGCTCTCAACTTCAGTGGGTTCTGGTGAGCGCGCTATTGCTTGAAGATGATCATTCCCTCGCAGAATCAGCGGGCGGCTCCGAATTTGTAGAGGAGAACAATGGGCGGACAAAGTTTGAGAAGGCCATGATGGCCAGAAGCTGACCTCTGCTTCTCGGAAGAGTCAGTACCCCATTGACCGTGTGGTCACGGTTCGATGATTTGAGAGAAGTCGGTATCTGTTGCATTGGAAGCATGCCTGCTTGCAGGAAGAATCACGATGCAGGACACAATTTGATAATTAATTGATGAAGAGCCATCCTAGGCCCGGTCATCAAGTGCGAAGGCACCCACGAGATTGCCTTCTCGGGACCAGACTCTCCATCCCAACCAGTCGGGTCGATGAATCGCGCATGCAATTCGCTGATCTTACCTGCTTATCACACGGAAATGTTCACGTTGGAACTCCGCAGCGGCAACAGGAATGTGTGTTGTCGGGGTCCGAGTCTGATGATTCGGTCCAGAACTTGGAAGCAGTTCGCACCATGCGAAAGTTCTGGTACACGTTCAACCCTCTGCCCTT